TGTGTTGACTTACAAAAAGGATTGAAATGACTTGAATACCCTTGACACTTTGTAAATTTACAATTATTATAATATATATATATATATATATATATATATATATATATATATTTATGGGGGCAATTTTTTTGACAAAAATAATCATATTAGCACATGACCCCATCAAAAAAAAAAAAGAAAAAAAAAAAAGAAGGTAAAATGTAAAAAAAAAAACCTGATCAGCAATTAATTCCTGAACTAATAAAATTGCAACTAACCCCTACACTATGCAATTTTGATGCAAATAGCCCCATCAGGCCAAGCTCCGGTCAGATCTTGCCATAAAAGTGACTATGTGAGGGTCACATGATGCACACTATAATTTTAAAGACCATAATGCCCTTACGAGCATCAAAAAGACACTAATACCCTTTATGTGACCCTTACACCCAACACACCCTTATCAATATATTGTTTATCGTCGGCTCATCAAGAGCAATGCTTGGGTCCTGCCCTATCAGTACAAGTTTTGTCCTCCACTCTGATGTGGTCCTATAAAAATTTGACACCTGTCTAAAAGAAAAGAAAAAAAAACCAAATTGGTTACCTGTTAGTTACAGGGTAAAAATCCATCACCGAAACCATCTTCTCTATCACAGAAACCCATCTTCTCCCTCCTTTAGGGCTTAGATCATGCAAGAGAGAGAAGGCATGTGGGTCAGATGACGGCGAGAATCACCCAGACGATATAGGGGCTAGAGTTAACGGCGCCGGCAAAAAGATCCCCGAATTCTGAGAGGATCCACGGCTGAGATCGGATCGGCGATGAAGTGGAGGCCGACGATGTGGGTCGGCGATGAAGTATATCAGCGGCGTGAAGATGATCCCTCTTGTGACTCCAACCCCTGAGTTTGGCGACGGCAGGGATGTGGCCGTTGAAGACACAGTGATGTCGCCGTTGAAGACGGAGACAGTGTAACAGATCCGACAATGGCGACGGATCCGGCGGAGATCACTGGTTCGGCCGACTGTGATAATCTCTGGAGCCGGCGAAGATGGAGATGGTGGTTGAGACAAATCCGGTGACTAGATGGCGGGTTGCCGACTGAGCAGAGAGTTGAAGCGGTGAGGGTGCGAGAGAGCAGATCGCCGTTGGCGATGGCGACAGATCGCGACGGCCGCACAAGCTCTGAATCCCTCGAATCCGGCCAAGGTGGAGCCGGATCCCGGAGACTATGGGGTTTTCTGGTGGTTCCTTCAACGGCGACCAATATATATCCGTCGGCAACGAAGGCTCCGGAGTTGAGAGTTTTGCGGCGGCGAATCGAGGTGGAGACGAAAGAGATCCAGCAGAGGGTTTTGAGATCGAAGGCTCGGCCGTGATGGAGCCAGTCGGCGGTGAGCTTGCCGGTGGAGGGCTCGGCTTCGGATGATGGTGTGGGCTTGCGGCGGTGCTTGGAGAGAAGAAGAGAGGAAGAACTGAAAAGAGAAAATGGGTTTGTTTGTTGGGTGGATCCGGATAACTCAATTTGATTATGCATGATTCATTTTTTATATTTTGGACAAGTGTCAAGTTTTCATAGGGTGGAGAACAAAACTTGTCCTGATAAGGCAGGACCCAAGCATTGCCCTATCATCAATACAAATATATATATATATATATATATATATATAGTTAAAACCACTATTCATCTTCTTCCCCATCTGCTTTCTGATAATAAAAAAATTAAAAAAAATGTGTTCACCCCATAAGAAAAATCACACAATGATGAAAGCAAAAAGGAAATATTGGCCTCAAATCTCCAAACCTTCAGTGGGAATCGAAGGCATCAACAACGAGTTTGCGTCTTCGTCGGCAACGTCGGCGTCGTGTGTGTTGTTGTAGCAGAACACTCTACAACAATTCTTTATACTTCTCAATCGTCAATACACACCTTATATATACACACCCCAAATCCTTAGAACCCTAACCCAATTTCAGAAAAATCCGAAATAATTTTCCAAATCAACTTCATACCTCTCAATCGCTCTCAATATCTAAATTGATTCCTGCAATATTTGCATCAATCATACCTAATTTACACCTCAATCACAAAAAAAAAAAGTTCAAATTATATATAGATATTCATATCCGTCTCCATCGCGATCGCCATCGTGAACCCATTTGCAACGCAATCGAAGCCAACTCCTCTACAATTCTCGCCATCCCCGCCGATCGCACCATCATCACCGTCCCCACAACTACACCGCCGGCACCACTCCCATGGAATAATCAGGTTTTCTGTTTCGTGAAACCACTCCAAGGAAAAACCCAAGTCTATCTCCACTATTTCGATGGAGACGAATTGGTTGACAATTATACATTGAATTTGTGATGGGATGAGAGTATGCAGGTCGTCGTCTTCTCTCTGTGATTATTATCAGAGGTCTTTTTTTTTTTTTTTTTTTTTTTTAAACTTTTTTCGGTTTCTGATTTGTTTTAATTGTTTGCTTCCTCCGATGAATCTGACCAACAAGGAGGTATCTTGTTTTTCATTTTCTGTTGGCTATTTTTTTTTATTGAATCTGTATTTCCACGAATTTGGGTATTGGTTTGTACCATAAGATGACAATAAGATTGAATTAATTTGAAGTACTTTATTTTCCAGTGTTTCTGATTAGGAAGGAGATTATGTTACAATTGTGGATTTGGTGGATTAAGATAATTTTGGTTTCGGATGAATTTTTTACATGAACGTTTATTTACATGAATTGGGTACTAGTTTTCACTATAACATTAAATTCTTTTGAAGTTCTTTATTTTCTTGTGTTTCTTATTGGAAGGAGATTATATTACAATTGTGAATTTTATGGATTAAGATTAAATTCATTTTGATGATATTGTATGTAAGGTGTTGTCTTTGGAATTAACTCTTATCACATTTAAGTTGTATTTATTTATTTATTATCAATTATTTTAATAAAATGAATTCTAATTAGACAAGAACTTATTTAAAAAAAATAAAATAATTTTTACAAAACTCTGCCGGTTAAATGTGATAGAGTTTTATAGAAATAGATAATTTGTGGTAAAATTTTATAGAAATGATTTTATTTTCTTTAAATATATCTTGTCTAACTAGATTTCTTTTTATTAAAAAAACTCATAATCTTTTATATAAAAAGAAGTTTTAAAAGAGTTTCTAGGAATAGTTTTTTTTTTTTTTTTTTTTTTTTTTTTGGCACTTTTTCCTATCATATATATATAAATAAAGATGCGGCATCCCTAATTAGGATGAGGATTATTTTTTATAGGGTCTCTCCGTAGAGGAAGAGATAAAGACAATAAATTAATTTAGCTACTCACCCTACTCACTTCCAATAAAAAAATAACACATTAACTTTAATAATAAAATTAACAAAATTATAAATAATAAAAAAAAAAAAAAAAGAGATGGATGGACACGTTTTAATTGGGTAATCACCCTTTCTCTTTTCTCTCTCTTTTTCTTTGATTCCCAAACCCTTGCCCTCCTCTCTCCAGCGTGGAAAATAAATTTGCCCCTCCTATCTACATTATTTTATGAGATGTTTGTGTTAATTTCAATCCTTTATTATTCTTTTGTGAATTTTCTTCCCTTTTGTGACATGTTTTGGGTTTATCATATAAATTAGTTATAATAACTCATATCTTCTTCTTCTCTTATTAATTTATTTATTTATTATTTTTGTATAAATTTAACCCATCCGTCAATTGAGTTTGATTCGATCAATTTGGGCATCGGCCAAGTATGCTGACCCTCGGTAATCTAGGTGATTGAAATATTCCATTTTGAAGTTCATGGTGTAACCGGAATTTGGTCAGATCAAATTGGGTGTCGCTGACAAACTTTAATGCTATGAACATGTTTGACTCATTGGCGTCCTAGCATGAGGACTTTTAATTCTCATGTCAGTTTAAGCATTCGAAGCCAAAGGCATTAAATTACCAGCTTTCTTATACTTCTGTGCACTAGAAGACATCAAAAAATAAAAAAAGGCTGCAATGTGTGTTTTGCTTCTACTGAATTGACAGGGATGGAGGAATTAACATTTTGTAATAAAAAAGGGCGTGGTTTTGGGAATAGATGAAAAAGAGGGGGAAAAAAGAAAGGGTGGTTAATCAATTAAAACGGGGACTTTCTTCTATTTTTTTTATAATTTTGCTAATTTTGTTATTAAAATCTTATTTTTTTATTAAAACACATAAGAGGTGAATAACTAAGCATTGTCTTAATTTTAATACATGGCATTTAAGTGTTTTACCAAATCAAATCTACTCGTCTCTCTCTCTAACATGCACTGGTTATGTTTGGCACATAACTACAGTCAGCACATGCTATACACAGACTCGGAGACAATTATTTTACAATAATATCATTTCATATGATATTACCATATTTGACAATAGTCAACAAGGGTGTAATTGTCTTTATAAAAATAAAAAGGATGAATTTATCCAAAAAAAAAAAAAAAAAAGTTATCTACAATATATTTAACCTCTACTCGTGACACTCAATTCTAAAAGCTCCAAATTCTATTAAAATTGATGACTTAACTTTTACAACAGAGAAATTAAAATTCATTTTCCAATTCAACCAAAAAAGCTTTCCTTTCACAACAGTGTAATTACATTTACATTTAGCCAAAAAATAAAAAACGACCGACAATTATATACATGTAGTTCCAGACCACGCAGCAATTGATCCAATAGTAGTACTATAATATAAAAACAGTGTTAATTACTCTTGTATATTGGAACAGAAAGATCATATTTACTGTTTGTTCTACGCCATCTGTTTGTCAGTCACTGCAACAATTTATGACCTTGACTCACCTCCTGAATAAAATCTCAGCCCAATGACTTCAACAAGTAATTTTAGTTCCGTAAGATTAGAATTGTTTGTGATGCCTGACTCCATTAAAAGATCATATCCAAGACCAATTTGAAGACTATATATATATATATATATAGTTCACATTAAAATCAGGAGACATCAGAATCTCGAAGTAAAATTTCCCCATAATGCGTGAAAAGCTTACACCCAAAAACAGTGGCCAATGTTCAAAAGCAGACCATGACATCTCATGTCATTTATTTCTTTGAGGAGCCCCTAAATGACTCAGCATTTAGAACATAGTTGACTAAAGCCGTAAAATATCAGAGGTTCCATTGTATGGAACAATAGTTCTTTCCTACTAGCTTACCCTTACTGGAAAAAGTCGCACTAGCGGTGACCTTAACCGTCTTATTTAAAGAATAAGTGTCCATTTCTTTCAGAAAGAATTCAAAACTAGCACCAGCGACCATACCCTTTCGTCTGTCGCAGAATAGTAGATGACACCAATACGAGGCGAAAAAATCAAGCAGTTGACTCCTTCAGATAAGCAATGAGATCAGCACGGTCCTGTGGCTTTTTCAATCCAGGGAAAACCATCTTGGTTCCGGGAATGTACTGCAGAAACAAAAGCATCACTTAACAATATGTACAGCCATATATCCATACATACATACATGGACAAGAAGATAATAATATAAAAAGCTTCCATTTAAGCAGTTAAGCTACACTTTCATGGACATTCGTCCAAGTAGAATCCATTACCGGATGATGACAGCAATGACACTTTCTGTTGACAGCATAAACAATTAACTACCACCACGATAACTATCGGCATTAGCACAGGAAAAAAATAATAATATCAGCATTAGAAGACTTTCTGCGTCTGTGATGTCAGGGTGGGCAGCAGGAGAAAATTAAGTCCCTAAGCAGTGTATTCATCTGCTTCACACGCTGAGGCCAAACTGTCCAACTCATTCCTCAAAGAGACTACGACAAGATCTAACCAACAGTAGAATAGGCCACTTGTATTTTCCTTTAATACATTATCTTCCGGAAAGTTCTACAGACATAAACGTGCAATCTATAGGATGTTCCACATTACGCTACTGCCAAACAAACAGCAACAGAACCACTACCGTACATGCTCAACAGTTAACAAGAGATGGTAGGTTTGTCCAGGATTTTTTTTTCCCTGGCACTCGTGCATTTGACAAGGACAAGTAAAAGCCTTCCCACAACCAACAAATTCACTATAAAATATTTCTTTCTTATTGGCCCTCATAAATGCACCAAATTCTTCCCCTTCATTTCTATTCACTCTAAAAGATAGACAAAACGAGCAACAAATATGTAAGATGCTATCATTCATAACTGGCAAGGAACAAAAAACACCCTCCTTTAACCCCAAGGGGTTGGCCTAGTTGGAAAAGACTTGCCCCTGGTGCCTCATGAAGCATCAAGTCTCACGATCGATTGCTGCTAGGTGCAAACAACTCATTGGAGGGGGGTGTATTAGAGTACCAACTGGGGGAAAAAAAAAAAACACCCTCCTTTTTATACTTTTTTTAACCCTTTGCCACTGCAGTAACACAGCACAACAAAGTAATCTCTTCTCTCACAATTCAACAAGTCGCCCTTCCCTCAATTGCCATGTCCCAGCACATTCAATTACTTTAGTATCTTGTGACCATACCAACAGTTCATTTGATTTTATTTCCAGCATGCAAGGGACGGGGATGTGACAGACGTCACTATATTTAATGGTTGATACCTACTTCGTACCAACTAATTTATTTCTGAAATGGTGTTCCCTAAATTGTTTGTATGTATTATTCCTTAGGCTAGCCTTAAATTCCACTTTAAGTGCTAAATCAAATCTGTAAAACATTTGCTTTTGCCTTTTAAAATGTAAGCGAACAACCCAAGTACACAAAAAGTATATGGGAAATGAACAAAAACAGAGGTTCTCTGAAAGCTCCAAAACCCAACAAAATCTACAAAGAGTAAATAGTGTCGGGACATTTCCCTGAAATCCAATACTAAAGAGCATGTCGAAGCAGCATTTTTAATCCATGAGATTGCATTCCGAGGACATACATAAGAAACAAAGGTCCTCATATTCCTTAATTTTGAGGACATACATAAGAAACATGTGCAGCTTACCATAGATAGATCTGTCGGGCAATTACTTCAAGGAAATCTTTTGATTTCTGTAGGGGATGATGCATTTTACCAGCTAGCACAAAATTAGTCACTGAAACAGCTTCTGCTGCAATTAAATGTAATTACATAATAGAGGGTACCACAGGACAGTGGGTCTGAAAATCCGCCAAGCTGAAACTTATGTCATACCTAGGGCATTCTACTTGGTGAATAAGTGCCAACTAAATGTGGATGTGGCTGAAGTCAGATGGCAGTGAATAAAAAACTGTTCAAATGATTTTGTTTACCAGACATCCAATCTAGGAAATATTCTAATAGTTGCTTAGTTGGCCTAAAAACGAGGAAGGCAGAAAGGAAGGAATATATTTCTTCTCTTAATTGCCATTACTAGCTTGGGGGAAGCAACACCAAAAATTGTTCCAGATTCTGATCCTGTTCGTAAGGTAACCTGCTTACTGCATTATTTCGTGAGGTAAACCAACTCTTATGTATCATTATTTCATTTTGCATGACTATTCCTTGCCTACCACTGAAATTATATTTATAAATAAACAAAGAAATAAAAATGAACAACTCACCAAACTATCCTCCACTGCTGATTTCAATTTCAAGGTGCAAATATATTTAACTGGACCAACTATTTATAACATAGATAAGATGTAATGGCATCCATAATATGGCATATGTAAGCTCATCAATTATAATTTTTTAACATCTTTTTTCATTAGTAGCAAAGGGATTTATGAAATCAACTATTACCAAACAACAATACTAAGTATTCTCATTGCAGAGTGCCCAAAGATGATAATATGCATTACAAGCTCAGCACCAATATGTTACAGAGTACCAAAGATGATGATATGCATTACAAGCTCAGCACCAATATATCCAATGCATTCAAAGAGCATAATCAGCTACAACTAACCAAAATAGGACACTAACAACCATATTTTTTGAACCAGCTTTTAGAACAATTTCACAATAAATAAATTTGTAGGAAGAATTAAAGACTACATACCTTCTTAGGGTTAAGCAAGTAGTCATACAGAGTATTCTCTCCCCAGTTGACAGCCATATTCTTGTTAGCAGTAGAGTACGAGTATCCAGCAGTTGTTCCAGACTGCCTTCCAAAAAGCCCGTTCAAATTGGGTCCTGGTAATTTCAATTGCCCAAGAAATAATCCTCAAAACTTGAATGAGATAGCAAGAGGTCACACAGAAAAAATAAAGACCAAAGAATGATCAATGAAAAGTGAAACAAGCAAAAAATGAGCATAGAGACTATTATAACCAAGCACCAAGTTTTTTTCTTTTCTTTTTGGTAGGTATGTTGCACGCATACACCCCTATTATTGTTCGAGTGACGACTCAAAACACCCAACCATCCACATCGAAGGAGGAGGAGGTACCGCTATAACAAGCTACGTAACGTCAACCTGCACATGTGCTTGCAGTGCAGGTTGATATCTTTTCAGGCAACCCTGAACCCAAAATTTCTAACAATATGGACACTTGGCTTAAAATGTGATAAAGGTTGGGTACAATTTTTAAGAGACATGCTACCAATGAAAATGCTTTACATGTTATATAATATTGTTATGTTATTGGTATTTGAGGCTCTACGATTATCTTCTTCCATTCTAGTATGTAGGATTGGCATGTGCAATTTGGGAACCTGTAATATTGACTTTTACATTTAAGAGGTTATATTTGCAATTGCTTCATCTTTGCCTTGAAGATTAATATCTAAACTGTATTAACAAAGAACCTAAAGATTGAATTATTTTCATATATATATTTGTTGATAAGTAGTTTACAAATTATTTTTCAAACTAGCATCGTATTATAATTATGAACTTTTGAATTTAAAAAAAAAAAAATCGTATCTTAATATATCTGAAATTCTTCATATCTACTCTAAATTGAAGAACCCGTTTGATCTACGCTCTACAGTGTGCATATGAAATCATCAATTTTGAAAATTTATTCGACTGATACTGTCTCATCGTAGACATTCTAATCAATTAAGACCTTTTGAGTTCTCTTTACAGACCTCACCTCATGTTCTATTCCCAGTCTAAGGACAATATCTTTAGATGAGATCATGTTGATATAACTCCCTTTTTAATATATTTCTTTTAAAGAAATAAGAACGCGCCAGCATCAATGTACCTGCTTTTATAATGAAACATTGTACCGCCAATAAAATAAACTAAAACATAAAGGTCAAAGAACAACGAAAGCTGGTCTACAATTGCTTGCATCATCATTAGGTAATGCACTACCATAAAATATAGCAACTAAAACAAGTCTGCAAAAGGTAGTAATGACCAGAGCATTTGTGCTGTGCGAATATACATATATATGTATATGTATGTTGAAGTTTGAAATAACAAGAGAAAGAAGAAAAGGAGAAGTAAAAGGAAATTGATAAAAAGATATGCTAGAAAAAAAAAAAGAGAAGCAACAAAGTAGACAGAAGAAGCAACGTCTCAATAGAATAAGTCTCAAGAAGGCAAGAATAAAAGACCAAAATGATTCTCCATGCTGTTTTTAACTATGCCATTATTTACTCAATTTCCTCTTTTAGCTTATTATTCGTAATTCATATTTGGTGTGGTGATTGCCCATTGTCTCGTTTGTTTCCAAGACTCTTTAGGATTGCTGTGGATAGACATGCTATGGTAGCGTCAGCTTGATAGCGGAAGGCTTACATGGGATGTGCATTTTTGGAGCTCTTTTCAGGATTGGGAACTTGATGATGTCCTTGGCCTGTTGGATCTTTTGTATAGACGTGATTTGGACGGTAGAGGATCTGATTCCTTGGTTTGGATGCCTTCCCCTCAAGGGAAGTTTGATGTGCGTTCTTTGTTCCTTCGTCTTGTCGGCTTTCATGGTTCAAATTTTCCGTGGAAAACGATTTGGCGTCCGAAGGCCTCTCTCAGGGTGGCCTTTTTTGTTTGGACTACGGCTTGGGATAAAATTCTTACTCTGGACAATTTGAGAAAGAGAAGATAGATCACAATGAACTAGTGTTGCATGTGTAAAAATGATGGAGAGTCTGTGGATCACCTTCTTTTGCATTGGTCAGTGGCTTATGATTGTTGAAGTCTTATTTTTAGTCTTTTTGGCATTTGGGTTATGCCTCGGTCTTCAAGGGAGTTGATTGACGTGTGGAGGGGCCAAAGGGTGGGGGGCCCATGCTCGTGACTATTGGAGGGTGACCCCCTTTGAGTTTGGTGGAGCTTTTGGAAAGAGTGAAATAAAAGATCTTTTGATGGGGAGGAAACCTCCATTGGGGCGCTGAAATTTTATATTATTAGTTCTCTTTTTAGTTGGGTGAAGGGTAGAAATTGTATATCTTTAGATGAGATTGTGGACTTTATGGGTTCTTTGGGTCCATAGGGTTTTATTTTGGTTTGGTTCTTTGTTTTTCTCTTGGGACGCATTCTCCTTTTGAACGCTTTCTAATATATTTATAGATAAAAAATAAATAATCATTGGACACATTACAAAAGTGGTTACAAAGATCCTTAGGCAACCACCTTAATGGCCTTAACATAGAACCACAATTTGTCTAAAAGCTTATGTATAAGAATTGCTTCAAAAGGTCCATTTTTAATCAGTATAAGAGTTCAGAGGACTGCTTTCTTTTGCTACACCGGCTCACCCCACCCTATTTCGACTGGCAAAAACACCACTTGGCAAGCCCAAGGCTACTTTATATAACTATTTTTTACTTTATGTAGACCCACAAAAATATTAAATCGAATTTCTATGAAGAAAAAACAAATCTAAAATGTTGAAAACCCTCAAAAATAATCCTTCGTTTAGTAAAAGGGATGAAAAATAGGTGGAAGAGACGGGATAGATGGAAGAGTCACCCCTAGAGAACCGAAGGTACTCATCTCAACTTTTGTTTGGTTGAGTGGGAAAGAATGGATAATATTACTCCCAATTTTGGAGGATACCCTAAGGGATCTTTCATCCAACCTTAACTTTTTCGTGAATCCTTTCCATAAATATTAAAAAGAAAAGAAAAAACAGCATTTCTGGATAAATGGGAAAATTCGATTTTTGCCAACTCAATTTATGGCTGACATGACACAGGAGCCTTTTGAGCTCCACCAAACAATGGTGAGGCACACAACACCCTTGCGTCTCGTCGGCCATAACCCGAGTCGAGGGGAAAAAAATTACTCACATATATATAAACATACGTATACACACATGTATGCATCTATAGATGTATAGAAATGAACATATATACATGCACACATATAGGTGTGCATATATACATTCATATCTATTTACAGCTATCACAGATTCACAACCCAATTAAAAATCTATTACCAGGACTATTGATAAGATCAGTATTTATCAACTTCAAGGGATATCTCATGTTTATCTACCCAGACATTTAATAGGCATGAAATTCTTTTATTGATCTTTGTTAACGATGCGCTTAATAAATGCTAACATATCCCACTATTGTTGCCAAGTCACTAACCCATTATTCAAGTCCAAACCATATCTTTCTTCCTACATGCCCTCTACATCCCTCTTTATAACCAAATGAAAATTCACTTTTTAGTGAATTTTTTTTTTTTTAACAAAGTAATTTATAAATAAATATAAAGTAATTATAATCTGAGAACTCTAATAGAAGAATCATACTCAAATTATAAATACTTTATTTTCAGCATATTTCTACCAATATTAAAAACAAATTGACCTAGAAATTTTCAAACACTACTGCGAAAACAAAATTTAGACTCCAGCTAAAAGAGAAATACTTGTACAATTCTAACAGCTGACTACAATCTAATTGTTATGTCAAAATCACTTTTATTGATTAAAGCTATTAAGGTAATAGCCTAAGGCCCTATGAGGAAAAGGAGACCTATTTCCTGATGTAGATTCCTTTTAGCAATCTAATAAGGAATATAAATATATAAATAAATAAAGATAAAGGGATAACTACAACCAATAAGGAAAAGATAACGGAATAGTTATAACCACCAAGGAACTTGATGGACAAATAAGAATAAAAATTATATATATTTATATGAGGAAATAATTGAATAATTATATCGGTAAGGAGAGAATCGCTTAATACAACTATGCAAATCTCAAGACTCTTAATGTATTAAAAATGTTTTCTCTTCTATCTATTTCTATTACTTTTCTCTCTCACACATTTTCATAATCTTTTTTTGACTTTTCTTAGCTTCTTTCCTTCTTATTATCCAAACTGCAAAATCTATAGACACATGCCCTCTTGACCATTACTACCTTTACTGAATTATTTTAGCCTCACATCCACTACAAAGATGTATTATCCAACGTCTCTAAAAGCAAATTACAAGTCACTATCAATCTTAAGAGTTTGATTCATTTAAATCACATTAAATTATTTTATACAAACTTGCAGGTTAATGTTGCTATGAATCCATTACAATTTCTTATACATTTGTTTAAAGGTCTATAAAAATGAATTCACATATGTTATAGCTTAAAGAAAGAGAATTTGCAATTAAAATGGAATTAAAACCTATATATGAATCGTAAAAAGAAACAGCCTGAAAAAATGTCACTAACAAGATAATAAAATCAATTGAGGAATTTTTTTTTTTTTGAATTGATTATTTCATACATATTATATATATCAAGATATTTCTTCAATTCAACTTATCAAAAAAAAAAAAAAGTTATTTCTTCAATTCAAAGTATATTTGAAATTTTTTAAATATAAGAAGATATGTTTGGTTGTCATTTAATTCTAAAAAATAGTATTTGTCCTAAACATTTTTTTTTTTTTTATAAGTAATAATAAAATAAAAAAGCATTCAAAAGGGGAACGCATCCCTAATACAAAAGTGGAATAAGGACCAAGGCCCCAAAGAATCCAAGAAAATGATTATATTTGTCCTAAACATTTTTTGAAAAATGATTCTTTTCTATTATAAATGGTTTAGATTTTTTTCATTTAAAAATTTAAAAAAATAAATTCTACAAACAAAACAATTCTAATTGAAAAAGAAAATTCTTCAAAATTAAATTAATATAATCCTACCTACAACCCACCACAAACAATAAATTTCGTCTATCAAACAGATATTATCAATTGAGAGTAACATACTAATCAGATTTGTATACAAAAACTTATTTATTAATTTTGCATCTCAAAAGATCTATAAAAAACATTGTAGGAATGTATTTAATAAATTTATAATTGACATTTCTTATAACATATAAAATATTAGAAAGGCCTCGAACTAGCCTGCCCTACACGGCTCTCCGCTCCGCATGCCCATGTAGGATGCCATTTATGCAAATAAGACACATATGGATATATTTGTGTGTGTATATGCAGCATTTCTTATCATCATGCTTATCATTATTAACGTACAAATCTCTATGAAATATATTGCAAAAAGACCGAGTATACACGCACACATATAGTTAACAAAGTCAAAAAATAAATAATACTCAATCAAACTATGTCGATCATGCAACGCAACCTAATCAAAAAAAACAAAAAGCAATTGGAAATAAGTATATAGATTCCAAAGAACAAAAACAGGTAGATTTTTAGTTAATTAGAAGAAAAAAATAATAATAAAAAATTTTAAAAATAAAAATAAAAAAACATCAAAGTGAACAATGAAATGAGTATAAATTAGATCAAACGCGATCGAATTGAGCACCGATACATAGAGAGAGAATTAGGGTTAGGGTTTCTAAAGCAACCTTGCTTGTGGCCAGCGCCTTTGTCGACGGTGTGACACTGCGCGCACTTGGTCTTGAAGATTTTCTCTCCAGCTTTGGAATTGCCTGGTGGTGCTTCCTCAAACGACGCCATTTCCAGATCACGGATCGCAGGAACGAAACGAAGACCCCCAAAAGAGTGAATTAGGGTTTCGAACTGTGAACGACGAACCTTCTTTGTGTTTTCTGTCTTGCCACGAAAGACACGCACAACCCACGAGCCTGTTTTAAAGCACGCGTATTAGAAACCGAAATGACATATATAACCTTTGATTTTTTTGACCAGTTGATACTAGCCTAGAATTCTAATTTTAACCACATACGCACCAACTAAATAAATGCGTAATAAAATTCTAACCAGTACCATTCAACATTTAAAAACCTTCGGTGCCGTAATCCGATGGGGTAAGCGTGTCGGGTCAAACTCCGCCTTTTAAAGGTCGCAAGCGAACACCCCCATGAGTCGGTATATAATTTTTTATAAATTATTTTTGGTGCAAATAAGAACATATTATCAATAGAATGATTAAAAAATTAAATTATCCTTATGTATTTAAAAAAAATATATTATGAAAAACACAATAAATGTAAAATGATTAAAATATCCTAATTAAAAGAGAGAGAAATGGTGTTTATATGTAAAAGGGTAAATTGCAATAAACTCCCTCAACTTTGGCCGCTTTGCAATAAACCCCACTCAACTAATTTTTTTGTCAAAAACCCCTTCAACTATACAAGGGGTAATTGAGTGGATGGAAAATCAATCCCATGTTTTTAAAACGAAAATGCCCTTATTCCTATTATATACGACAAATTGCATAAAACCCCTCTACTTTAAATTTTTGACGAGAAACCCTCTTTAAAAAAAAAAAAAAAGTTGACATAAAACTTTCCCTAACTATACAATTTGTTGCAAAGTAGCGTTATAATGAGTAAAATGCCCCTTGATACAAATTTAATAAAATGGTGCCTCTTAATATTAAATTAAAACTAATAAAAATAATTCATTTGGCATAGTGTTAATAAAAAATAATAATAATAATAATAATAAATGATGCATCTATAAGAAAATAAAAGTACCTTGGAATAGTTTTTTATTTCTAAAAAATAAAAAGGAAAAGAAAACCTAAAATGAAAATCATTTTAAAATAAACCTAAACTTTCTTAAATTTATATTTAAGTGATGCTATAATGACGAAAAATTCACTTTAAATTTCATTATAGCATCACTTTAATATAAAATTTTATTTGAAATTTAAATCATTTTATATTATCAAAAATTCCCACTGATATAAAATGAATTTTTCGTTAATATGAAATGATTTAAATTTAAAATGAAATTTTATGTTAAAGTGATACTATAATGAAATTGAGTTTGTTGATGCGAAAATTAGTGCGACCTAGAACGACGGCGTTTACCTACAAAACAATGGAGATTATGTCATCTCGGATAGCACCTGTGGAGTGCCAACTGAGGACCGTTCGACGATTAAGTCAATACTTGGAACCGTACAGCAGAAGAATTAGTTCTATATTCAATGTTTAGGAGTTTTTTTTTCTCATACCTCGTTTAATGGCCAACTACCATATTTATGGTTACATCGGGATCCAGGTGATTACGTAGATGTCAGTTAGAAAGATTGTGTTTATATTTTTTAACTGATCTCCCCTATCTTCCACAGCTGAATGAAATAATTTATGCTCTTTTCTATGAAGTCGAAGGGAATGGTTCAGTAAAGGCGGCGGTCAAACTTAGGGTTATTTTTCCCTTATAAAAGTTATTTGCCTTAATATTAAATTTAAATTAAAATAATTTTATATTGAAGTGATGCTATAATTTTATGATTTACGAATTTAATGAAATTTAAATCATTTTATACTAACAAAAAAATTCCTAATATAAAATAATTTTGTTGTCATTATAGCATTACTTTAATATAAATTTAAGAAAGTTAAGCTTTACTTTAAAATAATTTTCATTTTAGGTTTCTTTACCTTTTTATTTTTTAGAAAAAAAAAAAAAGAAAATTTTGAAAAATTGTTCCAAGGTACTTTTATTTTCTTACAGATGCACCATTTAAGTTTATTATTATTTTTTTATTAACACTATGCCAAATAAGTTATTTTTATTAATTTTAGAAAAATATTAAGAGGCACAATTTTATTAATTTTGTATTACGGGGCATTTTTGTCATTATAACGCCACTTTGCAACAAATTGCATAGTTAGGGGGGTTTATGTAAAAAAAAAATTCTTCATGAAGGTTTCTTGCCAAAAATTTAAACTAAAGGGAGTTTTCGGGCATTTTTGTTTCAAAAGCATGGAGCTTGATTTTCCATCCACTCAATTACCCCCCTCAAATAGTTGAGGGTTTTTGGCAAAAAAAATAGTCGAGGGGGTTTATTACACTTAGCCCTATGTAAAATGGTATAAGGGCATTTTGGCAAATCAAAAGGGCAGTTTAGATAATTTGTTACTTAATATTGGCACGTGCTACTTAAGTGTGATTTTATGACATATTATACTAAGTAAGCCCTTATTTGTCCATTTTTTAAAACTTAATTGAGTTATATACCCAAAATAAATATTAGGGTGTTATTTGTCCAAAATTTAAAGGTGTTTTTCTCTCTTTACCCCCTTAAAAGTGTCCATATAAGTTCGAATAAAGTATGCAACGTTATTTAAAGTGTTCATAATGTTATAAGGGATATTTGTCCCACGTCAAATCTGGATGAAAAAGTGAATAGATATAAATGGGTGAGTATGCAGTACTACCCAATAGTTCAAGTTTTTGAATAAATGAACAAGCACTCACTCGATACAATTAGTATCAGAGTTAGACCCAATCTTTAATTCGGTGCCATGCCAAGCGTCTGGTTGAGCCACTCGAGTAAGTAGGGTGGCCCGACCTCAGCGAAGGCGTTGCGAGTTCGGGTGGAGGAAAATGTTACGAGTGGTAATTGTTCCATATCGAAATAAATGAGTATAAATGAGTGAGTATACAACACTATAATTTAAGTTTATTGATAAATGAGCAAGCGCACCTAATAATTTGTCGTCAGTGAGTTTGCCTTTTAGTTACAATAATGATTAATAAAAAATTACCCCTGCAAAAGATTTGAAACATCCTGAGCAAAGAAGCCAATTCAAACATCCTGAGCAAAGACGTCAATTTTGAATTGGAGATTGACCAAAGTAAGATAAAATTAATTAGTGTAATGCTATTTAGATAACTTTCTAATAAATGATATTTAATCACTTATTGAGACTTTATTTTTTAATTAATCAAATTAATCATTTTTACAATTTAGAAGTTAATTACGATTATAAAAAAAATTATTTAATATATCTTTCAATTAACTAGTTAAATATGAATTGTTAATTGCTCTTGGCATAAAATAACGGAAGTCTCTTGATAGAATTATTCATATATATACATTTATATTCTTCAATTTTTACAATTATATAAAGTAATTCAAGGTATATATTTCAAAAATACATTATTAAATGGTTCTTAAAATTACTCTATTGTTCGCTTTGGACCTGAGCCCGCATGGTTTTGCTCTTAGGCTTTACCCCAAAAGGCCTCGTACCAATTGGAGTGACACACCTACTTATAACCACTTCATATTTCTCTTACCCTTACCTAGGCGAGGTGGAATTGTGCACTTGTAGCTCGTTAGTATCTCGCATCTTTGTTACGACCCACTCCACCACATGGAATGATACTGTCCACTTTGGATGTGAGCCCGTACAGTTTTGTTCTTGAACTTTACTCACTTTTCAAAAAATATAAAATATATTTTTTTAAATGCTAGGAAATATCACCGGGCTATTGGGTCAGTTCTAAAAATATAGAATTAGAAAACGATAGGAGTAGTTTCAAATCCTTGGATTTCTGGGCTCAAAAAGTTTAAAAAATGAAATCAGGGAGAGACCACGCCATCAACGCTCCTAGTGTTTTCCCTTTCTCTTGTTCTATTTACTGTAGTTTCTTGTCCAAAACTGCTTCATAAAGACAAGATGGGAAAAAACTCTCACATCATCATTCGCAAAACCGGGCATTAGGGTAGACAGACAGAAGCCCTAAAGCTACATTTGACCGGTCCGGAGGGCTGAGAGATTGAAGGAAACTTGAATTGAGTTGTGCTGTCATTGAAAAGACACGAAACATATTCATGGTAGATTCGGAGTAAGCTTCAACTTCAAGAGAGAAGTGGCTATTTCTCTTTCAGAGTGAACACAGACAACCAACCAAAACTAAAAACAAGTAGCTAATATTACAAGCCTTACAATATTACAAGTACAACTAATAAAGCCGCATTCCAAGGCATAAATAACATCTGTTTTTCTGATTATATGATCAATCAAGAGATATAAAACACTAAATTTGGATAACTAGGCAATAATAACACCATTCAAAACCAGCCAAAAGTTCCTACGCAACAAAAATGAGTGACCTTAAGCAGGATGTAATTGACAATGGTTATAGAAATAGAGCAGAAGAGATACAGACCAAGAGTTCCACCAAAAAAAAAAAAGGAGGTGGATAGCAAACAAACCATTATATCCCAAACAAATAACAAAACCAAAAATTTCAATCCTTATTAAACCTAAACCCTTTACAAATGATATTTTCTAGCCACAAAAATGAGTTCTACCATGAGTTCTCGGACGTTTTTACTTTCACTGCCCATGAAATGTTGAAGAAGCAGGGAGCATAGGCCAGCCAAGAAGTTGGGGTGAGCCTGGTGGGGTTGAATGCTGACTGGGAGAGAAGAGGCTCAATTCCACAAACGCTCCAGATGTTCCATCTTTCTCCATAGCCCGAAAAGAAATGGATCCTCGTTTCGTTGAAGTAATAGAATTTCTACCAGGGCTACTTTCCATACTTTCTTCAAGAGCGCTTTGGTTAGCAATTAGTGAAATGGTGTCATTTTGTTCTTCAATAATCCCTCTCGTAGCCTCTAAATCTTGCAGATTCCTCAATGCTAAAGAATCTGCAACTGGGAAGTACACAAGCACGGAAATAACCACCCCAGCACAACATAACAGGGAAAGAAAAGCCAAGAATGTGAAAACTTCGAACAGAAAATGTTCTGGCCTAGATAGAACAGTTAAGCCAAGAAATAGAACCCTTAACAGAAATAAACTGGAAACAGAGAACATCAATGTGTAAACTCTCTTTTTCAAACCCTTATTAATAACCAACTTCAATATCCGTCTTCCAAGCCAGAACAAATACATTGTTAGAACAGTAGCAAAAAGACCGAGGAATATGGTACTCAATAAAGGGTAAGTGCAGAAGGCAACATCATCATGGTCCTTAGAAGCTGCACTTGTGAAATAATGTGGTAATTTGTGCACAAAACTCTCACCCTTCTCAATTTGGGGTCCAATTAAAATAACTATGAGCTGAAGAACAAACACTGGGAGGCAATAGAGAATAACATAAGCTGCTGTTTTCCCATTCCATTTTTGGCTTAATGCCCCCGTCTTCCGCAATGATGAATGAAGGAGAAACACGAGGGTGAGGAACAGGCAAGGTTCTGCAAACCCGAGGTTTGAAACAATGTAACATTTGCAAAAAAATTCCTGCCATTTCAAGTTAAGGGCATTTAATACTTTACCCTCACGTCTCAACAAATTTAACCGGATTATTTCCCAAAAACCCCACCAGATTGTAAAGAAGATAAGCGTAATTCGGACAATCCAAGGACCGCTAAAATAACTGAGTTGAATAAAACCTTGACTACGGATGCAAGTGCGGAAGTAACACAAGTACAGGATGCAGAAGAAACCCAGGAGAACCAAAAGAGAAACAAGACAAATTGTCACCACACCAAGTGCATCAGCAACAAAACTCGTCAGGGGCATTACCCAAAGCACAGATTCCACGCATGCTCTCTGCCAGCATGGATACAGAAAAATCCTCTAGTACATATATACTTGCTCCTCCTCGCTATAACAACAGGGTGTAGTAAAGCAAGTATTTTCACACGACTCTACTACCATGCAATGCCTTCCTGCTATAATTGATCACACTGTAATTCTTGCCCTTGCTATAAAATCATTAGGCAACTCCCTCTCTTCATGATTTTGGTAACATTCTACGGATACCATCCATCTCCAATCCAACAGTAATTTGTATTAGATTGAAATTGTGGTCTCAATACTGGATTTAAATTGTGAGAAGCTTCACAGATAAATCCCAAAATATATTACCCAGCCAAACCACCTACAATATTGTAGAGAATCATTCATGAGTGAGAAATTAAAGTTAAATGGAAGAGAACTAGCAGGGCTACTGTACATCCATGTAAGTCTATGCGTCTAACAATCAACCTAAAAAAATCATCTAAAATCATTAACATTGGTCCCTTCTGGGGAATGAGGATCAGCTCTAAAGAGCAGCATCTGAAATTTTCTGAATGTTAATAGAACATTAAACTTTTAGTCATCAACTTAAAGTTTCACTCAGATAAAACTAGCATACCCATCAAACTTGTGACACTAGACAGAAGATGAGAGCGACATTCATATAATTCCACTCAAAATGCAAGACAAACTAATTTTATTAGAATAAGAATCACACTGTTCCATGAAATTCAAGTGTACAGCATAATTAAATCAGAGACACCATAACACATGTCAAATTTCCCTCCCATAAATGCCAAAATTTTAATAAATGTATCCATCAGAAACAAACTACATCTAAATTTCAAAATTTTAGTACACCGAGGTCCTTTGATATGTTTTCAGTAATTATAAGTTAAAACACATATGGACATCCAACCCAGGACTTGAACTCTACACCCCACTTCTTCAGGGGATACCAATGAACATGTAATAAACAATCAGCTCTTTCAATGTTGGTGTCATAAAAGAATTTAGACCTGTCACCTAACGACTGTCAATAGTGTAATAAAGTCCCATATAAAAAAGGAGAGTTGTACGAATTTATTCCTATCTGCATATCTAATACATAAACCCCAAACCTCCCCCTTCAGAGTGGTAGGTGATTCCACTGAACATGTTTTTTTTTTTTTGACAAGTGATTCCATTGAACATGTTGTAAAACTGTCATTCAGTGTAATAGGGCACACGTAAACAAGAATGGGAGTTTGTAAGAGTCTTTTTCCACTAATTAAATTGGTCTTTGTTCAAATTCTTTAGAAGATTCCCATCATATGGCAAATTTATACTGAACCCAAGTAAACAGCTTTATTGATTCAAACTAATTTTCACACTTTGTCCAAACAATGGTCGCCCCCAAAAAATGTGATGCTGACATAAGAAGATTGATCTTAAAGTCCAAAAAAGAACTGCTAGACAAAAGCAAAACCAACTCGAACCAGCTATTGTGTTGAACATGAAAAAGTTTCATATCCATCTGAATTCTAGGAGGCGCAGAGCCTCAAGAGATAATTAAGGAAAAATAAAGTACAAATATTTCAAGTCACAGTTTTAAATTTTTTTATCTAGATACATGTCAAGTGAAGGGATGACGGGGTGTAAGAAGTCCTTTGAAGAACCTAATTTTGTTTCAAAAATTCCAATAAAGCAGTTAAATACTTACTTATCCAACCATTACATTAATAACTTAGCATCTAAATTTCCATTAATGTTTTACATAAAGTTATAAACTGACATAGAAATCATAAGTAAAATATTTATGAAAAAATTACGAATACGGCTTTTTTAAAAATTAAATAAAAGCATGTTGTGCACGTGGTTACTGACAATGACACTGAAATTTAAAGATGGGGTGCACAAAATATATATGACATATACGTAGGCTGTAACACCACATATCTGTATCACCATGCTTTTACAGCCATTACCACAAACCAACTAAAATTATAAACTACAAAATAACAGAATCTTATAATAATATTAAGTATATTCATTATATGGGATGTAGAGTACAAATACGTGCCACCATTGAACTTCTTGAAAGTATTGCATGTTACCTTTATACCATTTTGAAAGTATTGCATTTACAAAATTTTCAATCGAATTGGTGATTATTCCTCTATTGCTTCCCCATTTAGCACTTCTAAACAAAATGACAAGCTGTAGAAAAAGCCCACACTAATAAATGAATGTCTCATCAGTTCAACCTTTTAACGTTAAAATGCCAACAATTGTCCAAGCAATTTTAAGAATGCCCCCACAACCTTATAGCATGCAAGGGCTCCCTCTTTTACAGTTTTACTGTACCATGAAATTTCACGTCAAGCTCTAAACATTCCTCCAAACAACTGAATAATATCTGTGTATTGGCATATTCTAAGCATGCATGTATATGTATTCTCTATATCTATATGTCTATACATTAAATAGCATAAGTGAAACACCAAAATTGTAGCTGTGTGTGCGGGGTTCCCAATCCAACTATTACATGTATTCTAATTCAATTTCTTCCGAATAGCTGAATAACACCAAAATTGTAGGCATATATATACTTAAATATAAACGTACATGTACACGTAACGGAGTTAAAAATTGAACTCAAACTAAGTTCGAATCCTCCTAATTGAGCCAAAACAAACAGAAATCCGTACAAAAATTGGCAAAGATCACAATTAAACCAAATACTATGTCAAATTGGTGACCACAAAACAACATATACAGTAAAATACGCGCATTTTCAAAACAAACAACACAACAAAATCCAAGTATTTAAAAAAGAACATTCATTAATCCGAAATAGTAAACAGACTGTAACTCGAACCAAACAAGGACGAAACAATAGGGGAATGGAAAGAGAAGCAGATCAGAAGAAACCTTACAAGGCTGACAATCTCGATCCGTTGAGGTCGAAGGACGAATCACACAGTCGCGGGAGTAGATTGAAAGCCCTAAGAGAGAGAAAGTTTCAGAGACAGAGACAGAGAGAGAGAGAGAGAGAGAGAAAGAGGGAGGGAGAAAAGAGAGAGAGGGACTGAGAACCGAAGGTAGAGAGAGAAAGACTTTGTTGGTGACAGGCTGTCTCCAGCAAATAAACCAACCAAATAAAAATAAAAATAAAATTTTTTTAAAAGACAGGCTATATACATCTGGATGCTCCGAGCCTCTAAGTTCGGGAGTGCCAGGTGCTGGCTCGGATTAGTTCGAGCCTAGGTGGCAATGTTCCCGTGGCGGCGTTTACGGTGAACCTTTTTTAGCTTGGAGTGGACTAAGTACTGTGGTCCTTCCATTCATTTAAAGACGCGTGGACATCCATCTGTATATGTCAAAATTTACAGTAGTTTTTTTTTTTTTTTTTTTATTTCTTTCATTTTTATTTTTATTTTTTGCCCTTTCCTATAACCCGGTTTTTTCATAGGACTAATCACTATAATAACATTCATCTGTAATGTTAAAATTTACAACAGTATAATAGTATTGAGTATTTTTTCTTTCAAATTTTTTTTTTTTTTCCTTTCCTATATCCCGATTTTTCGGGTCTACCATTCGGATAGTATTAATCACTATAATAACTCAACATGTTAAATATGGATAAATTCATTTCTGAAAAAAAAAAAAAAAAACACACAATATATAGGGTATGTTGGCTGGTTTTTTGTAACCTAGTCCAGAAAGTCCTTTACGATAGCACCCAGTGTTCGATGAAAGTACTTTTGAAAAAATATGGTATTTTAAAATCTCGTTTGAGAAAAGCTAATAAAACCTGTTCTTAAATTAACTTCTCGCAAAAGTGCAATACTTTTTTTTAAAAAAAACAATCAATTTTAGAAAAAACTACACTTACATAGAGTTAAGACTCTTAAATAACAAATTAATCTATTTTAAAAGTTCATTTTTTACTTTGGTTGAATTAAGTAAACTAATTACATATGCATCAATAATTATTATTTATGTTGAAAATGTCTTCCAAACACTTATTCCAAACAATAAAAATTATTCCCTAAAATCAAGTACTTTCTTTAAATAATATCTCTCTAACTTTGAACCATATTGTTGCAACTTTCATATATACACAACTTATACAAATAATAATAAAAATAAAAAAATTACCAAATAATAAAAAAGATTCAATATAGTAAAAAATGGAGCAATCAAATGTTAGTCCCCAAAAGAAAAATATAATTAAACTCAATAATATATAAATAGCCTTTGATGTGGTGCATGTGATCATCAATTTTTTAGCTCAATTAATTACACTTTTTTTATAAATAAATAAATAAATGATTGTTGGTGTATCGTTTACTGAAGCAACAATTTAGTTTTTTCATGATCTTCCATTTTTGCGCGTGTGTATTGCACGTGTGTGTATATATATATATTCATAGGAAAGTTTTCACTTTCGTAGATTTATATTGGTATGAATTAGGAGATACAGTTAAAGTTATATGCTACTAAAATTATATATATATATATATATATAGGATGAATTTCCACTTATTAAAAAAAAAAAATCTATTCATAATGAATTTCCATTAAATTATTTATATCATAAAGAATTTTCATTAAATTATTTGTATATTTCTAAATTAATATTTGCAGGTTTGAACCAATATTAGGAAATATTGTTAAAAAAAATATTCTAAATTTTATGAATGAAATAATGATTTGATTTATGAAGGATAGTTTAGTATTTTCAAATAAGAGTTTGAAGGATATTTTGGATATATATAATTGTTTTTAATACATATGTAATTATTTTATCTAACTCGATCAAATAAAAAAATTAACTTTAATAATAGACTGATTTGTTATTTAAATCTTCTGAATCTACTTAAATGTAATTTTTCCACAATTCTAAATTCTTATATTATATTGTCCGTTTATTATAAGCCTATTTTTCTGAATCTATCTTCTCCATCCGTTCTCTACACATCTATATTGTCTGTTTGTTGTCTCCCCATAAATGGTCTGAATTTCTAAACTCTTCTCCTCGTATGGGTCTAAATTTAAAAATCTTTGTTAAAAGGGTAAATTACATGTTACTCCTAATCACGGCACGAATTCTCTTCCTTCGTTTATAAATCTTTGTTGAGAAAATAGGTATGTTTGATATATCTATATTTATACTATTATTAAATGTGAGCATTTTAATATTTATTTATTAATATAAAAAAAAAATTTATAAAAAAAATTTACCTAAAAATTATTTAAAGAGTTTAATTCAAATTACAAATTACCTAATAAAATTTATAAAAATTAATTTAAAAAGTTTAATTCAAATTATAAATTAACTATACTATTATTAAATGTGCAAAGAGTTCCAGTCTTTTAGTATTTCAGTATTTATTTATTATATAAAAAAATAGTTTTTATAAACAAAAAATTACCTAAAAATTATTTAAAGAGTTTAATTTAAATTGCAAAACTAATAAGGATTATAGGGAAGTCTCTTATAAAACTATAAATCTAAATAAATATTAATTACCCATTTCCTGGCCTTTTGGCTAAGATTAAGTGTAGTACTAAATTTTTTTGGGTCGGCCTTTTGGCTAAGATCAAGTGTAGTACTAAATTTAAAGGTTAAGATCAAGTGTAATATTAAATTTTTATTACCTAATAAAAATTAATTTAAAGAGTTTAATTCAAATTACCTAATAAAATTAATTTTTACTATCCCACGTTCATTTTGAGTTAAAAAGAATTACACGGAAGCCTCTTATAAAACTATAGACTTAAAAAAATATTAATCACATCTTTTTCGACCATATGGCTAAGATTAAATGCAGTACTAATTTTTTTTTGGTTTACCTCTCGGCTAACCTTTCTCGGCCTTTTAGCTAAGATCAAGTATAGTACTACATTTTCTTGGGTCGACCTTTAAGAGTTTCAGTCTTTCAATATTTATTTATTAATTAAAAAAAAGAGTTTTTATAAAAAAAATTACCTAAAAATTATTTAAAGAGTTTAATTCAAATTACAAATTACCTAATAAAATTCATAAAAATTAATTTTAAGAGTTTAATTCAAATTACTTAAATATGCAAAGAGTTTCAGTATTTCATTATTTTAGTATTTATTTATTAATATAAAAAAATAATTTTTATTATCTAAAAATTATTTAAAGAGTTTAATTCAAATTACAAATTACTTAATAAAATTTAATTTTCTTTTCCCACGTTGATTTTGAGTTTAAAAGGATTACATGTAAGCTTCTTATAAAACTATAGATCTAAAGAAATATTTATCACACCTTTTTTTTGGCCATTTTATATATTTTATTTATATATTTTCTTGTCTAATTATAAAGACTAAATTATTTATTTTCTTATCTAATTAGATTTTCTTTTATTAAAAACCTCATAATATAAATAGGTAATTTGAGTTTTATAGGAACTCTCATAAACACTTTATATTAATTTTAAAATAAATCTCATAATAAATAGACAATTTGTATTATTCTAAAATAAAATATACATATAAATTGAATTGTAAAAGGAAACATATAAATTTATTATTAAAGAATAATATACTGAAACACAATAATGTACTAAAACTCTTTGTACTTTTAATAATAGTATAGATATGTATATAATTTTTTAACTTAATTTTTTTTTTTGAAAAGAAAAATACAGTGAAAATTAAAAACACACATAAAACATAATATCCAATATATTTCATAACAAACATAATTTTCCATCTCCCTCCATTACCTTTCTTTTCATTTTATTTTCATTGTACCCAACTAGCCCTTACTCTCTTATCGGAGAAGGACAACCAGGTTAGACATAATATGATTAATATCCAATGTATTTAATTGTACATGATGTTATTATAGGTTTTCTGGTGAGCTATTACCAATTTGTCTTTCCTGTCAAAAAAATAAAAAAATAAATTGTCTTTACACGTATATATTCATTTATAACGGCAAATAAAACAAATTCACTTCACAAGGCAAGGCAGAAACAAGATTGAAAACTACTAAACAAAGGGATTGCCGTAGGTGTTTGTTTTATTATTATTTACTTTTATTTTCGGAAATGTTTTTATAATTGTTGTGATATACATATGATACGCGTACAAATTAATAACTCTGAGCATGGAATCTCCATTTGAATGATTCCCAGGTCAAACATCTACAAATGATCCGGGATTCGAACACCTCACTAGAAATAAGAAATTATATCAACCAGAATAATAGTCCAATGATTTCTTGTGCACTAATTTATTTTTTCATAGAAACTAAAATATCACTTTATGAACTAATTATTTACTTTAAAAATCTAAAATATTAATTAAGAATTTGAACTGTCAATCAGAGAGAAAAACTTGTCATACTTTTTTTACAAGTTAATCAAATACTGTACTATAGTTTGTACATGCAGTATATATATTAGAATAGGTATCGCCACATATATTTTTCTTTGTTTCTCACTTCTTCTTTCTTTCTTTTTTTAAAAAAAAAAAAAGAAAGAAAGAAAGAATAAAGTGTGTAAAGAGGCCCAAGAACAAATTGTAACCCAAGCCAACCCATATAGCATTACAAAAATAGCCGAAGGCCCAAGCAGTGATCCCAAAATGCCCTACCCAGCTAGGTTAACTAGCGGTTAGGTTTCAATTAGTTGTTAGGGTTAGCAGTGGCTTTCTATGGTGTCCATGGAGGTCAAGAGCCTCATTTTCGAGAAGAAGAAAAAGAAGAAGAAGATGATGACGATACTGTTGGGAAACGTGCTAATTTTAAAAAAAATTCGAGAGATTTTAATTCATAAATCTTGATTCATTATATAGAGACAAGCTTTATGCAAAAATAAAACATGAAATATCATTCAATTAAAAGATTGAATACTTACATCAAGGTTTGAGTAAACCTTAGATCTCTCCTCTAAAGTGAATGTTCTCACTTATTGTAGATCCCTTTTGCTAGACACTTTTTTCATGAATCTCCATCTTCTTGGTAATGGTCTTGCCTTTAGGAATCACTCATAAGCCTCCATGAATGACCTTGGAAAACTAGGCTTGTGGGAGCCTCCATTAGATGAAAACACTAACCCTAATTTTTTAGAGAGAGAAAATTTATTCCTTTTTCC